AAAAAAAATAAAAAAATAAAAAAAAAAGACTCTGCACTAGCTGTGCCACTTTATAACCTTCCCTTGCTATGTTGTAGATCATTCTGTGTTAATAAAATAGATGTATATTTTTTAAGATCTGCATCATCTGTTCTGTGGATGTGCCATAACTTATTTAAACAATCCCCTTTTGATGAGTATTTATGTTTACAATGAATACTTCAAAGGACATTGTTGTACATACATATTTGTACATTAATCCAAAAGTCTAAGGATAAATTCCTAGAAACAAAGCTTCTAGGTCAAAGGGTATATGCTTGTAACTGACTCTTAATCATCATTGTGGACAGTTCACACTGGCTGACAGTGCCATTGATAGGTAGACAGTGTCTTATGGTTTTCGTATTCTTTGACTACTGTTGAGGTGGAATGGATTTATCAGTACCTCCTATACATCGTGTTAATTACCTCTTCTTAATCTTTGCATTTTTTTTCCTTTCAGGGTCTTTATCTTATTGGTAAGAACGCTTTATATTTTTGGAATATTAAGTGTCTGATATGTTTCAAATATTTTTCCCAGTCATAACAAATGTTTATTTGTGGTATGTTCCACCCTGTGGAAGTTTTACATTTTTATATGCCTTTGGTATCACATTTTAAAAAGAATTCCACACCCCAAGATGATCAAAAATTCACATGTATTTTCTTCTTTCTTAAATCTACTTATTTTTTTTATGCTTAAAATCTTTGACCTATCTGGAATTTATTTTGATATAAAGAGTAAGATAGAGATCCAGTTCTTTATCCTCACCCCCATCTCCAGATAACTAGATGGGTGTATCAATGTTGCATATTGATTGAAGAAGCCCTGGTGATACAGTGATTAAGTGCTCCCCTGCTAACCAAAAGGTCAGCAGTTCGAACCCACCAGCTGCTCCACCGGAGAAAGATGTGGCAGTCTGCTTCCATAAAGATTACAGCCTTGGAAACCCTCTGGGGCAGTTCTGCTCTGTTCTGTAGGGTAGCTGTGAGTCACAGTACACTCGACGGCAGTGGGTTTGGTTTTTTTATTTAGTTTTGTATTGATTAAAATGTCTATTTTCCACTCACATGAAATACCTACTCTGTCATATTAAATTACATGTGTGGTTGATTCTGTTTCAGGATTCTCAAGTTCTAGTTGGCCCTATCTCTTCCTATACTATAACCACATTTTTTTAGTACCACACTTTTTAAGCAATTTCTAAAAGTCATTTATAACACTATATCTAATTGGGCAAATTCATTTGTCTTTTCCTTACCCCCTCAGATTTTCCTGTGTCATAGTTTTCTGTAAGAGTTGATAGCACCTGGCAAAGGTCAAAGGTTAATAAATGGTGAGGAGTCTAGGCTAGAACTTGAGCTCTGTGTTTGGGATCTTTATCCAGAACTTTCTCCTTCTTTTATGAACTCACAAGTTACTTAAAAGGGTTTGGTGAGACAATGGGGAAAAGATAATTATCTGAAAGATCTATCGACTGGTGTGATTTTCTCGGACCCTTATTAGAGAGTGGTTGGGCAAAGTGTTGGCTTTAAAATTAGTTCTCACTGAGTTGAACTGGAATCAACTTGAGTACATATCTTGGGGAAGCACTGCTCCCACCAATAATGTCTGGATCTGTGGAACTAAAGACTCCTCTTTTCATCGTTTTTAAGTTCTTTTGCCCTATTTGGCTTTTCCTTACTTTGCCAACCTGTTGTTCTCTATCTTCTTACAGATTGGAGCTAAACATGGTGTTATTTACTTATTCACAAAGTATGGCTACATTCATATGTATGACCTGGAGTCTGGCGCGTGCATCTACATGAACCATATTAGTGCTGACACAATCTTTGTAACTGCTCCTCATGAACCTTCCTCTGGAATTATTGGTGTCAACAAAAAGGGACAGGTAAGTCACACTGAAGTTTCATTTCCACCTTTTTCATTCACTGTGGAATTGTGCTTAAACTATCCTCCTTCTCCAGGAATGTGATTAGGTATAGTTAGCTCCCATTATTAAACTTTCACCCATGTCTCCCTTATTCTTTGTATTGTCACATTCCCTTTTCAGATAGCACCGTTTCTACACAGGATTGATTCTAAGAGAACAGTTCCCTTCCTGCATGAAGCTTCTGCCAGTGAAGCAGCAGTTGTATACACACCAGGAACATCCTTATGCCATGCTCACATTGATCGGGGAGGGTTGAAAAGCAGATACTGTGACACCTAAGTTACCTTTCTCAATCAAAGTTAAAAAGATAGTTAAAAGAAGAAAATATGTGCTTAAAATTTTTTTTGAGAAAAAGACATGTTAGTTCCACCCCAACAGGCAATTTTGGTGTCACTGTCCTAGATTCATGTCTGCGGTCACTGTCCATACAACTGTATATTTTTCTCACTTGATATTGTTATAGTCTTTTTAACAGCTAAGTAGAATCCCATGCTATTGCTGTACCATGATGTTCACCTTTGTTACCAGTAGGCATTTGACTTCTGTGCATCCTTTCACTATTAGGGTCAACATCATAGGATACTCAACGTGATCCTCATAACTGTCCCGACAGTCCTGAGTGGAATGTGGCAGTGTGTATCTATGGGATATTTTCTTAGGCTAAACCAGTCTTACTTGTTGCATCCTTACAGGTACTGTCACTTTGTGTCAAGGAAGATAACATTGTGAATTATGCAACCAATGTGATTTAGAATCCGGACCTTGGGCTGCGTTTGGCCATTCATGGTAACCTGGCTGGGGCAGAGGAGTTGTATGCCAGAAAATTCATTACCCTCTTTGCACAAGGAAGCTATGCTGAAGCCTCAGAGTGGCAGCATCTGCACCAAAGGTAATGACACTTGAATTCTGAACACCATCCTGAAGTTTTAAGAACCAACTTTGGGAGTGAAATAAATCATGAAGGCATTTCACTATCGACAGTAGAGTGTGTTAGTGTTCTGTTAGGTTTTTCATAGCTTTAATATTTTGTACCAATGGCAGAATAATAATGGAAACAAAGGAAAACATGCACAATCCTGTTGTACCAACATAAATTCTTGTCTGTGTGCAGAGATATTCTTACCCAACAACTTTGCTTAGGTAGTTTTACATTTTGGTGACTTGGAGTTTTCCACTGTTGCTACATAGCTGTCAGATATGTAACTATTTAATACATTAAGTGGTTGTACCCCATTTTATTTAGCCATATTCCTACTCTGGACTTTTCCACTCTTCAAGGGTGTATAGTATCGCCTACAGAATTTCCTTTGGTTTATTTCATTAGGATGAGCCATCTTGGGACTGGATTTCCTCCTAAGTAGATAAAGACTTTCAAGTTGCTTCTCCTTGAAAGAGTTTTACCTATCTTTCAAATGATGATTTGGAAAAAAAAAAACATTTTGCTCTTTATGTGGGTCGTTGAGTATTTTGAATTAGAGTATAATGATGGTAGAATTTCACTACTACAGGACAAATTTAGAAGCCTAATTCTAACCCCAGTTTGCTAGGGAAGAAATAAGACACTGTGAAATCTCCTGTAGAAGCTACACCAATTATATGATGGTTATTGTTGAAGGTGGGAACAGTTGCCTTGGTAGAGGATTTTTGGTCTTTGACAATTCAATGTAGAATTTCCAGTGGCAGGTTTTGTTGGCAGATTTTTTTCTTACACTGGCAAGTTAAGTGAAGGGATAACCTGTGATTACAACACAATGACCTGCATTTCCATTTATTACTAGGGAATCCTGCGTACCAGTGACACAATACTGAAGTTCCAGAGTATACCTGCCCAGCCCTGTCAGGCTTCTCCTTTGCTCCAGTACTTTGGAATCCTACTTGACCAGGGTGAACTCAATAAACTTGAATCCTTAGAACTTTGCCTCCGCGTTCTTCAGCAGGGGCACAAGCAACTCTTAGAAAAGTGGCTGAAAGAAGATAAAGTACAAACTGTTGTGAACTCATAGCCCCTATCCCCACCCTCCCCTCCTTCTCATTCTGAGCATAATTGGAAACTTGAGGCACAGGCTCACTACTCCTCTGGTCTTAATTTTCCCTTGTCCCTTTGGCTTGCCACAGCTGGAGTGTTCAGAAGAGCTTGGAGATTTGGTCAAAACTGCTGACCCTACACTTTCTCTGAGTGGGTACCTTCAGGCAAATGTGCCAAGCAAAGTTATCCAGTGTTTTGCAGGAACAGGCCAAGTCCAGAAAACTGTGCTCTATGCCGAAAAGGTAATGCATGTTTAACCATTAGCATTTCACAGATAACTAATTTGTGGTTAGATGGTTGCTGATTTTGACATTTATAAAATATCCTTTTATGAACTTAAGGCTGTATTTTATAAAAAGTACTCTGGTGTAACAGAGTGATCAGTGTTGCTGTTAGGATCTGTCACTCATTAATAATAGTCATATTTTAATTTATTCAGTTTTTTATTTTCTGGATCTATTTTTATAGTCTTCTATTTCTTTCCAGTTGAGGCTTTCCTGTAATTTTATTTTGTTCTTCCTTTCCCATCTTCCCCGTTCTCCCTCAGCACACTTCTTGGTATAAATTAGGAGTTTTAGAGAGCTTGTCTTGTCCTCACATGCTCACTGGCAGGCTGTGCTGTGTTTGTTGGTCAGAATTTGCACACTGATCATGGTAACTGTCTGTGATTCAGGCTGCTTATGTATTTAATTGCACCTTCATATACATGGAATTGCTACGTTTAATTGGGTATATTATGTTTGGCGGAGAACTAGTACATAAACGTTAATATTGCTATTCATTTCTTTATAAACACAAGTTCTAAACAAAGGTTGGGGAACTTCTTTTTTCAGTGCTCAAGGTTTTCAGTTTGTATTCCTGGTGGTGATCCCTTGCTTCTAGGTTGGGTATATCCCAGACTGGATCTTTTTGCTGAGGAGTGTGATGAGGATCAGCCCAGAGCAGGGTCTGCAATTTTCTCAAATGATAGTGCAGGATGAAGAGCCATTGGCCAACATTAACTAGGTGAGCACAGGTCATTTGGGGCAACTTTTTCTGACTTTTCATAGCCATCAAGAAGATTCCATTTCTGGAGTGGGTGGAGGGATGGTTATTGCTTATGGAGTTTCGGTTGATGGTGATGGAAAAATCACATTGATTAAGGGTAGAGTAGCACAGCCAATGATTGTAATTGCTGTCAATAAGTTGTACACCTGTAAAAAGTTGAATTGGCAAAAGTTGTTTGATAGATATATTTATAACAGCAAAAAAAAAAAAAAAGATAAGCTGTTGAGGCTGCTTACATACAACAGATACCTCATGAGATTTGGTTCCTTGGTCTGGGGGTTCAGGGTCATGATTTCATGGGACATCCCAGTTAACTGGCCTAATAATTTGTTTAGTGCTTGTGTTTTACCTCCTCATTCGTTGTGTACTGCCCAGTCTTAAAAGCTTGCAAGCAGCCATTCAGAGTACAACAATTGGTCTCTATTTGCCTGGAGCAACAGAGGAAAAAGGAGAGTCAGGAATAGAAGGTGGATATGGACTGCGTGGCTAATTGCCCTCCATAAACAACTGCCTCCTTTGCCATGAGACTAGAGGAACTGGATGGTGCCTGGCTACCATTAGTGAACATTTTGATTAAAGATTCCATAGAAGAATTCTGATCAAAAGGAGGAAAATACAGAACAGAAATTCAAATTCTCATGGACGCTAGCCTTTCTGGAGCCATGGAGGCTGGATGAACCCCTGAAACTATTGCCCTGAGAGAATCTTTAAACCTTGAGCCAAAAATATTTCCTGAAGTCTTCTTAAAACCAAACGGTAGTTTAGCTTAACTAGTAAAGAATGTCTGCCTTGAGCATTGTGCTCTTTTAAGAACTATCTGTATGGAAGCAAACTGATAGCAGCAACTCGAAAGATTAGATAGAAACTTTAGGGAGCAGTGAGTTTATGTTAATGGAGGAAGAAGTACTCAGAAAAGGAGGGTAAGAATGGTTGCACAACTTGAAGAATGTAATCACTGAATTGTGTACTAGAATGTCACTGAATTGTACATGTAGATATTGTTGAATTGGTATATGTTCTTCTGTGTGTGCGTGTGTGTGTGTGTGTCCGTGTGTGCTTGAGGTGAAAGTTGCACACCAAATTAGTTTCTCATTTGCTAGTTTGTACATAAAGCATTCCATGACATTGGTTGCATTCCCCACAATAATTGGTGTATATTCTTCTGTGTATATTCTCAGCAACAAAAACAAAAATAAAATATACTTTTTTAAAAAAAGAAAATTCCTTTCATGTGATTTTCTTTTAACAGTGTCCCGATTCTTTTCCCCTGTTTGTCTACTACTAATCTTGTAGTTAGTTCGGTTTTAACCATCCGATGTACTAGGGGAAGGGGACTCATCTTCTAGTCTTTATTATTTGAATACTCATCCTTTATATTTGTGTTGAGCTATTTTAGAGGATTTGTGTGTCAGCTGTGAGTATTTTTTGTATTTTTTTTTTTATGTAGCGACTGGTAGGGTGTGTGGGTGTCATTTTAGAATGATAGCCTTCAATCCCTCACCCCACCATTACCCCATTCTGACATGGTCACTGAATTCTGCCTGAGGACCTGGTAATGGTGAATGCTGTTGAATCATGCAAGTCTTTCATCTGGTAGGTGTTTTGGTTAACCGGGAGTTAGGTAAACATAAGTCAGTTTTTTTAGTATAACCTCCTTAGTATTTAGATGTAAACGCATGACAAATCACCTTCAGTACACTGTGCACTAGGAACTTGGGTAACACAGAGATACATAGAGAAGCTGGAAGCAGGGCAACAAAGCCAGTATCCTGTTTAGAAATAATAACTGCAGTCATATTGGGTTATAAACATCTAGGAATGTGCAGATATGTTGGAAATCATATTAAGGAATTTAAGCCAAATTTACTTAGATCTAGGAAAGGAGGCTCTGGTTTACATCTGGATTATATTTTATATTTTAAAGAACTTTTGATATAAACTTTCCTATTGTGTATTAAATACAGAAACAGTTACCCAACTAATAAATTCATTACCTATGTTTTCACCTCTTATAAAGGCTTCTTAATTGTTTAAATTAATGTCTGCTTAACTTTAATAATTGGTGTCATTGCATTTTCTTAATTGTGCCTGAATAACATAATGATAGTAAATGGGCTAGGTGCTCAGGCATTGGCTGCCTCTAGAATTTGAGGAAGTAATATATTGTTAAGACTGCTTCAATCACTTCAGAGGATTCTGAGGATTCAGAAGTTACCCTACCCCAATATAATGTCCTGGTGGTGAGTATGACAGAGGTGATGTGATTTCATGAAGTTCATGAAATAATTATTGACCATGAATTACATGGATTTTAATGACATAAGAAAATGCAAAGGAAGGAACTAATTATGAATTTCTGAATGAGGTTCAGTTTTAGGAACCATTTCAATAGGAAAATAAAGCACTGTTTCTTTTGGGTGAAAATGTGCCTTGCTGTCTGTTTCAGATTGTAGACGTTTTCATGGAAAACAGTTTAATTTAGCAGTGTACGTCCTTCTTGTTGGTTGCCTTGAATAATAATCACCCACCTGAGGGTCACCTCCAGACTCAACTGTTAGAGATGAGCCTGCTTCATGCACCCCAGGCAAGTGAGATTTCCCAGCTGAAACTAGCAGGCAGAGCACCTGGTTCACCTGCACGTTTGGGATTGGCTGACTACACACAGCAGCTCTGGGCTGGGGGTGGTCACCCAGATGTCTGTCTTTGCACTCCTTGGTGGGTGCTCTCATTGCTTTCCTGCAAGTCACCTTGCAAAATTTTCACAGTAACAGTTATAATCAGGGCATCATCTTTTGACCTGAAAGTTGGGTGAGGGAGATCAAATCACATATTTTTGGTTAGATTTGGGCGTATACGCAGGAAGGAGGTCTGGAGAAATTTACATCACACTGTTAACTGTGGTTGTCTGAGTGGGTAGGATTGTAGAAGTTCACTTTATTCTTTACTTATCTGTCTTCCAGGTTTTTTTCTTTAATAATCAAGCATTATTTTTATAATTAGGAAACAGCCTGTTAATTACATTGTCCTGTTACCTCAGTTTATTCAACTTGACAAGGTAACTGCTGATGTGTGTGTCATAGCCCACTTCTAGGAAGTAAAAGTGCTGCTAATTGGCTCATGGTTTGGTGGTTAAATATAACAGTTTTTAAATGAGTTTTGAAACAGAAACCAAACACCACTTAGAAGTTCAGCAGACAGACCTTAAAGAGAGCCCAAACCCCCAAAGGGAGGCAGCCTCAGTGGGCAAGCAGCTCAGCAAGGTGCTACTAGTGCTGGTCACGATGCCCTGATTTGCTGGGGGTGGTCTTCTCTGGATGGAGGAGACTGAGCAATGTCTTGTAAGTTCTCTAAAATACACTGCTGAGATAATAAGGTGGAAATGTTTAAAAACAAGAGGATAGTAAGGATAGATCTAAAGGAAACAAAGGGCAGGCAAGGAATGAGTAAGGACCAGATGTTACAAAATTCTGCTCTCGGATGTGGTTGGGTCATTTACTCTGTAGGAAACCCAAAGTATGCATCATCTAGGGGTAGTGTGACGTTCAGCTGAAGGTGGGATTTCCATGTATTTGGCCAGCACTGTGTTTGGTTGGTGTTCATATCCTTGAAGAAATGGGAATGAGTATGCTGGGTGGCAAGTGAAGGCCCACAGGAGTGCATCTCATCAAGACTAGTTACTGGTTAGATAATGAGGGTAAGGTCCCTTAGCAGGGTCACAAAGTTCCTGTGTTGACACAGCAGTCTTAGCCCAGAGATGATATATTTAAAGATAATTTTAAGTCTCATCAAATTTTTTCCAGGATTGTTTGTTATTTTTTAAATGCAACCCCCAACTCCTATTTTCTACCTTTTACCACGTAGAGATGTCTAGAAAACAGAAGTATGATTCATTTTTTTCAAATCTGATTTTGACTGTTACTAAACTGAGAATTGATCTCATTAAAGGAGGGCTACTGAATTATTGTTAGAGTTGAGCCCTCACATTGATCTTGCCATAGAAAAGTCTGTAAAAAACATGACTGCTAAAAAACAGCAGCAATGAACTGGACTAATGCCAGTAGTAGTGCTTTCTGGCAGAGCCTCAGCCTTTTTTCATGCCCAAGTCTACAGCCATGCGTGCCGGGTCTGACTGCAATGTGGGAGGACAGAACCTTATGGGAGGGCCTCAGGTGACTTGGAAGGATGGCCAGGGTCTGCTTGGGACCCGAAAGCACCTGCTGTTGATATGGAAACGTGAGTGTGGGTGGGGCACAGACATGGTGAAGCACCTTTAGGTATTGGCATAGCTTCTCCCTGAGCCCTGGTTCTAGAGCTGTACTGGGGAGGCACAGTGAACAGCTGCCCTTCAAACGTGACTGCTGCAGTGAAGGCTTTCTTACTAAGTTCACTGTTTGATAGGTTGCAGATGCCATCCTTGGAAATCATACGTTCACTCATTATGATCAGGCCCACATTGCCGAGCTCTGCGAAAAGGCTGGCCTCCTACAGAGAGCACTATAGCACTATACCGATCTCTGTGACATCAAGAGGGTTGTGGTCCACACTCACCTCACCTGAGGTAAGGGAACTACTGAGCCATCTCCATCACGGCTGGTGTTTACCAGTCACTGTTACTGCATCCCCCCAGATTTCCCACCCAATTTCCAGCTGTTGGTGACTTATGGAGCCATGGTGTGTGTTTTCCCTAGGTGTGGACCTTGGCACTGCTCTCACGTGCCATACTTTACTGTCAAAAGCAGTTATAATGCAGCACGTGCACAAACTTTACTCGCTCAGCAATTAATCTGGGCCCTGTGTATCCTCTTTTTCTTTCCGTTGTCCACCTTTGACTTAGTTTAGTAGAAGGGATACAGATAACCTTTTAATATTGATAGCTCTAGCAGGGTTGTCTGAAAACATCAGAAAAAGCTAAAATAGCTATGTGTTCCAGTTTACAGAGTAGGTTTTATTGTTAACCAGGGAACATTCCAGTATCTGTGGCAGTTTAGGTCAATGTCTTATCCCAGTTTTACTCCCAGCTTCCACTTTTTACCATGATGGATAGTTGCTTTTCAGTCCTTTGAAGTGAAAATTCTTTATATATTTGACACTCCAGAGAAAAAAATTTTTACCAGGTTAGCAATATTTAAGATTGTACAATGATCTCACTTATATGAAGTAAGCAAATACATAGATAGAAACCAAGGATTAGTAATGGTTACCAGGGGTAGGAGGGAAGGGCAAATTTTTGTTTGGGGGGCATTGAGTTTATGGTAATGGTGGTAGAATATTTTGGAAAAGAATACCAATAATGGTGTCATAACATGAAAAGTGTAATCAATGTCATTGAATTGTAAATGTGGCAGTTGTTTTGGCGGATGTTATGGTGTCTGTATTTTCACCACAAGTTAAAAAAAGGGAGGAAAAACAGATCGTACATAGTCGTTGACAAACTTACTTGCTTCACAGTGTCTTGTAGATTACTTTGGCTCCTTGTCAGTGGAGGATTCTGTTGAGTGTCTGCGTGCTATGCTGTCTGTGAATGTCAGACAGAACCTTCAGCTGTGTGTGCAGGTGGCATCCAAGTACTACGAGCAGCTGGGCACACAGTGTTTGGTGGAGCTCTTTGAGTCCTTCAAGAGTTATGAAGGTAAGCATGCAGCCTCTGGCTGACCCTGCCACAGGACTGTTACCTCCTTTCTTAGGGTTTTTGTGTACTTGCCTAACTTAAAACTGGGTCCTCCTGCAAAGCCAGGCAGGATGCAACACTCATTGCCTTAGATATCTGGTCAATGGCAAAACAGTGCTGCTATCCTGGTGTATGTTACTCAGCTTAAGTACCCTTTCTGGCATTTGAAAGGAAGAAATCAGACTGGTTGGTATTGGGGTGGGGAGACTTAAAATCCACCTACGGTCACCTGATCTTCGCCAAGGGCCCAAAGTCCATCAAATGGGGAAAAGACAGTCTTTTTAACAAATGATGCTGGCAAAACTGGATGTCCATCTGTAAAAAAAAAAACGAAGCAGGACCCATATCTCACACCATACACAAAAACTAATTCAAAATGGATCAAAAACCTAAATAAAAAACCAAAAACTATAAAGATCATACAACAAAAAATAGGATCAACACCAGAGGCCGTAATACATGGCATAAACACAATACAAACCATAACTAACAATACACAAACACCGTAAGATAATCTAGATAAATGGGATCTTCTAAAAATTAAACACTTATGCTCATCAAAAGAATTCACCAAAAGAGTAAAAAGAGAGCCTATAGACTGGGAAAAAAATTTTTGGCTATGGCATCTGACAAAGATCTAATCTCTAAAGTCTATAAGAAAATCCAACACCTCTACAACAAAAAGACAAATAAACCAGTTAAAAAATGGGTTAAGAATATGAACAGACACTTCACCAAAGAAGACATTCAGGTGGCTAACAGACACATGAGGAAATGCTCACGATCACTAGCCATTAGAGAAATGCAAATCAAAACTATAATGAGATACCATCTTAACCCAACATAACTAGAACCGATCAAAAAAACAGAAAGTAACAAATGTTGGAGAGGCTGTGGGGAGATTGGAACTCTCATGTACTGCTGGTGAGAGTGTAAAATGGTACAAACCATTTTGGAAAACGATATGGCACTTCCTTAAAAGGCTAGAAATAGAAATACCACACAATCCAGCAGTCTCACTCCTAGGAATATGTCCTAGAGAAATAAGAGCTGTCACACGAATAGACATATGCGCACCCATGTTCATTGCAGCATTATTTACAATAGCAAACAGATGGAAACAGCCTAAGTGCAGATGAATGGATAAACTATGGTACATACATGCAGTGGAATGCTACACACCAGTAAAGAACAATGATGAATCTGCAAAACATCTCACAACATGGAGGAATCTGGAGGACTTTATGCTAAATGAAATAAATCAATCACAAAAGGACAAATACTGTATGAGACCACTATTATAAGAACTCATGAGAAGGTTACACACAGAAACAATCTTTAATGGTTACTAGGGAGGGGAGTGGTGGGAAGGGAAAAACACTAACTATATGTAAGTGGTAACTTTGGTGAAGGGTAAGACAGTACACAGTACTGGGGAAGTCAGCACAGCTTGACCAAGGCAATGTCATGGAAGCTTCATAGACACATCCAAACTCCTTGAGGGACTGAATTACTGGGCTGAGGGGGACATCTAGCTCAATTGGCATGACACAGTTTATAAAGAAAATGTTCTTCATCCTACTTTGGTCAGTAGCATCTGGGGTCTTAAAAGCTTGTGCGTGGCCATCTAAGATATTCCACTGGTCCCCGCCCCCCACCATCTGGAGCTTGGGAGGATGAAGAAAACCAAAGACATAAGGGAAAGATTAGTCCAGAGGACTAATGGACCACAACCACCACAGCCTCCACCAGACTGAGTCTAGCACAACTAGCTGGTGCCGGGCTACCACCATCAGCTGCTCTGACAGGGATCACAATAGAGGGTCCCAGACAGAGCTGGAGAAAAATGTAGAACAAAATTGTAACTCACAAAAAAAGACCAGACTTACTGGCCTGACAGAGACTGGAGAAACCCTGAGAGTATGGCCCCCAGACACACTTTTACCTTAGTAATGAAGTCACTCCTGAGGTTCACCCTTCAGCCGAAGATTAGACAGGCCCATAAACGAGAATAAATGTGCACACCAGCCCAGGGGCAGGGACCAGAAGGCAGGAGGAGACAGGAAAGCTGGTAATGGGGAACCCAAGATCGAGAAGGGGAGAGTGTTGACATGTCGTGGGGTTGGCAACCAATGTCACAAAACAGTATGTGTACTGATTGTTTAATGAGAAACTAATTTACTCTGTAAACCTTCATCTAAAGCCCAATAAAAAAATCATATAGATTGTAAGTTTTGAGTGAGCTATGGTTACTTGGAGAGTGGACAAGCTTGCTATGGGCTGATTGTCAGGGAAGGTGAGCAGTAGCTGTGGGAAAGGCAGGTAGAGATTATGAGGCCCCAACACAGAACAGTCTCTCTTCATGGGCCTTTTCTACTTCCTGGGCTCCATTGTGAACTTTAGCCAAGATGCAGACGTGCACTTCAAGTAGATTCAGGCTGCCTGTTAGACAGGTCAGATCAAGGAGGTGGAAAGAATATGCCGAGAGAGTAACTGCTACAGTCCAGAACCTGTGAAGAACTTCCTGGAGTGTGGCCAGGCACTGCCTCCTTTCTTGAGCTGCTCCCATGATATCAGAATGGGAAAACTATTGGCCAAACTGCACAAAAGCTGAAAAGCTGGACTTGCCTCACAAATGTTCCCTTTGTCCCCAGTGGCAGATCTCTACTCTGTGGTGTAAAGTTCTTAGAGGAATCCACTCCTTTGTTGTAAGACCCCTTTGCAGAAAGAAGCTTGAGGTTGTGCCCTTGCTGATCTGACACGTGAATTGAGGGAGTTTCCTGCTGCATTGTATTTGAGCAGCATCCGAACTGTGCCCCTTTTAGTTAGGTGAGGCTAGGGTGTAGTCACAAATGGACCTCTCAGTGCTAGTAACTTAAAGAACAAGAAGTGTACGTCTTTCTAGTATGACAACCTTGGCTGAATGTGGAGGTCAGTGGGTTGACCTTTGTTCTGACAGTCTTCAAGGACCAGGCTGATGGCTGCTTTGCCATCTTCAACATATCACCTAAATATTATCTTTGCAGTCACCTGGAAGAAGGCAAGAGTACAGAGAAGCAGGCTTGTGTGTTTTTTATGGGTGAGGTCTGGAAGTGGCGAACAACACCTCAATTCAGATGCCACTGAAATTTAGGTCACACCTAAAACTGCAGTGGAGTCTGGAAAATGCATGGGCCCAAACAAGGGGAAAAATGATTGTGGTGGACTGCTGGCTGTCCTGCCAAAGTGCATTCTGTACGGAGGGTAGCCCACCTGTACCAACAGGCTGATGTGTCCACGAAGTGTGGCTGCTTGTCTGAAAAGCCAGCCCTTCCCAGCAGACACACTGCTCTTGAGAGTGGCCCACTTTCTCTGCTACCTGGTCTGGGTCAGATTAGAGGACAATGAGCTGTTTGTCTTAATCCAAGTTTGTCTTGGACAAATTTGGAATGTATTGCCAAATTTAGCTGAGTTCTTTTTTTTCTTTAGCCAAATACTATATTCCTTAAAGTGACAGCATATCTACAACAAGCTCTCATTCAGGGTCACTGTTGGATCATTCTGTTTTAGAAGCAGTCAAGTCCTTGTGCTGGTTCATGACCCCTGGAGTCTAGTTCTATGGGGTCATCACTGCCTAACTTATTCTATGCTTTCCAATATTTAGGAGCCCAAACTCACAGACCAGCTTCCTCTTACCATTGTATGTGATCGGTTTGACTTTGTCCACGACCTCATCCTTTACTTACACTGCAACAACCTGCAGAAGTACACTGAGATCTATGTTCAGAAGGTACTGCTGGGACAGTCGTTTGCCAGCTTCACAGGTTGTGGTGCTTGGCTACCTTCATGCCTCGGTTGGCAGTAATGTTCTATACTTGAGAGGCTGCCCCTGACCTTGAACAACATTTCAGAGACTGTCAGTTTGAAGGGAGCCCTTTGAGGTCATAGTCCACACTGCCCAAATCCTGGGGGACTGGTAGTGATGACCTGTGTCTGCAGCACTGAAGTCGCCACCTTGACTATTCTAGGTCAACCCTAGCCTGATACCAGCTGTGGTTGGAGGGCTGCTGGATGTGGATTGTTCTGAGAAAGTAATTAAAAATCTGATTATGGTGGTTAGAGGACAGTTTTCTACTGATGAGCTAGTGGCCGAAGTAGAAAAAGAAACAGGTAAGGTATCTTAACTTGATATTTTCCCTTGCCCCTGGATTCTAGTGTCCATTGTTAGTTAAGTCTCTGCCTGATTCTCCACAATGCCTTAGTGGTTGGCTGCCCAGCCCAAGGACTGTCTTGGCTGGTCTTTCTTGTGCCAGATCTTGATCTAGTATTAAGTTATTTGCTATTGGCATTGAATCTTAACAATTGAAAACAATTTAAATCAAGTTGGAAATCAGTTCTGTCTTTGTCTCTAGAGCAGCCTGAAGTTAATGGAATGAGAGGTGGGGTTTTTTGTTTTGTTTTTCTAAGAAGCAACCTTGAGAGCCCAGGGATTGCCCTGGATATTTCTGATGTTAGCACTGGGACTTTTACAGTGCTCTTCCTTCTTTCAAAAGCTAAAATTGTTACTGCCATGGTTGGAGTCCCAGATTCACGAAGGCTGTGAAGAGCCTGCCGCTCACAATGCCCTGGCTAAAATCTACATCAACGGCAACAACAGCCCGGAGCACTTCTTGAGAGAGAATGCCTTCTACAACAGCAGCGTGGTGGGCGGGTACTATGAGAAGTGGGACCCACATCTGGCCTATGTTGCCTACGAGCGGGGACAGTGTAACCATGAGCTTATCCAGGGCAGGAGATACACCTTGGCTGTCGGGTGTTGCTCTGACCTCTTGTGCAGTGTTTCAGATGTGTGGTCTGTAGAGGCTGCTCAGGGCTCTGTCTGAGCCTGACACTGGTGGGTCATGAGGTCCCTTTCTATACACTAGATTTCCTTATAATGTTGACACTTTGTTTCCAACCTGCTCAGGCCCTGTTTGCATATACTGCTGTCTACACACATGGTATTGCATGAATCTGACCTGACACTCCTCTGTGTACAATCCTCAGTGTTACCTGGTGTCTTGAGGATAACAGTGAACTCCTTAGAATGACCTGTGCACTCTTTGGTGAACCTCTACCCTCTACCCCCTGCCAATATGTCCAGCCTCCCGTCTTGACATACCACACTGAATGGCCTGCAGTTCTCTGGATACCTCTTGTTGTCTGTGCCTTTGCGCATCCTGCTCCTCTCTTCTTGGAGTTGTCCTTTGTAGGTGTACACCACCAGCTCTTCCCAGCCAGTGTAACCCTTGCTGGTCCCTCCTTGAAATATTCACCCAGATCTCCTGCTTACCTCTGCCCTGGCTTGGATCCATGTGTATTTAATTACTCTTTTAGGTTGAACCGTATGAACTGTTAATACTTAACCATTTGGACCAAAAAACCAGAAATCTCATGTGGTTGAACCTAATGTTTGTTAGACTGTAAGCTCCTTGTAGGTCTGTTTGTTCCCAGCCTTTCAGAGCATCTGACAGTGTGGTATAAACAGAGTAATTGGGTAGGAATGTGTGTGCAAAACGTGGAGAGTTGAACATGAGAGCACTTTACTGATTTCTCACTCCACTCGTTTTTGGAGAGTGACCACAGAAGTAACAAGGCTGAATGGACATGGTCTCTCACCTGGCAGTTCTAGGGGAACTGATTTTTTTAAAACTGGGACTTTAGTTAGTTCATTGTTTGTTAACAGTAAGCCACCTTTGACTTAATTTGCCTCCTTTTTATTAAATCACAGTTAAATGGCCTCTTCAGCATCTTAGCACCGGTCTATACTTCAAGGCGACGCTTCCCTTTTAGCTAAGGCAGAGTTTAGATAGAAAAGAAATACTCCTTTAAGACCCAGTTTGTCAGAAAGAGAGCTGCAATGTGATTTCAGATGCAGGGCACACACGTGACTAGTGCCACATCAGCTTGCCTCTAGCCTCCTGCTGTATAGACTTAAATGGCTTGCATTTACAGCTTGAGAGATTTTTCCCCTAAGGCCTGAGGAGTTACCTTCACCCTAGTTTTCTACCCCAGAGGTTTTGTTACATTTCCTGGGTAAGCTGTAAACACTTGGTTTGATACTTTTTGTCTTGAGAGGGTCAAGAGGGGCCTCTCTTCAGGGGGCCAAGAGGAAGCCCACATAGCTGAGAGGGGGCATGCATGGCAGAAAGACCTGTTTTCTTGCACTGCCAAGAGGAGCTGAGAGAGCTGTGCTGCACTTAAGAAGGGAGACTTTGCCTACATGTTTCCTGATCCTGAGTTGTAGCCTGTTGATCATTATCCCAAGTTGTACCCTGCTCGCTGCACCATAACGACAGAACAACACATTCTGCTTGACTGTGGTAACTGTAGGACAGCACTCCAAATCTGCATGGTGCTGATTTCCAAGTAGCCAGAAGACCGTTAGAAAAACCATACCAATAACTAATATGAATTGCTCCATGAAAATCGTGTCCTTCTGATCAGAGTGTGAACACACGTTAGCACTTGCAAAGTAGCTTTTATTACTTAGAAGAATCAGCACACAACAGGAAAAATCCCATCACGAGCGGTTGGTCCTTTGGAAAAGGTCTCACGTAGTATCAATCAAAGCATATTTTAAAGATTATACACCTTGAAATGTTGCAGTGTATTTGCTGCTTTATATACCATTGCTAAGCTATTCTGATAACACTTTAGAGCTGGATTGTCCGGTGTGGGAGCCATTAGCTACATGTGAATATTTAAATTAATCAAAATTAAATAAAATTTAAAATTTAGTTTTTCAGTCTCATACCACATTTCAAGTGCTCAGTACAGCACACATAGAGAACTGCATGTGAAGGGGAATTTTTAGTCAACAATCCTATACTGCTCACAGCGCCAATTGTGCAGACTAGTCCAGGGAGACAAAGATCACCCATCTCTGATGCCAAATTGTGTGGTAGATAACACATCCCATTCTACACACGTTGTTTGAAAATCTTCTCTTCCCTTCCCTCGCCAGTTCAGACCCCAGCTGTCCGTGCAGCCCTTCTGTCTCATCCTTGACCACTTGGGGCTCATCTATCTCATCCCCAGCCACCTGGGGCTCAGTCATCTTATCCCTTCCCACCCAGGGCTAGGTCAGTGGGTACTAGCCACGAGCACAGGGGTCTACACAACTCCCTGCACTTCATACCAGCCAGCCCCACTACTTCCTTTAGTTCTGATAATTCACTTGAATGACTCACAGAGCTCACCAAAATACCATACCTGTGATAGCAACTTTAATATGACAGAAGGATATAAAGGAAGATATGCATAGGACGAGATCCAGGAGGGGTCCCAGCACGGAACCTCAGCATCTCAAGGGGACACTCCCTTTCAAAAACAGATGTTCACTTTCACCAAGCAGGAATCTCTTCAGCCAGGAAATACACCATGACATTTCTCGGCTGGCACTGCTTCTCAATCTGGACCTCTGATAGCTCTCTGTTAGCACCACTCTAAGTAAGACCTTGGACAGCTCTCGGCCATTTCCATCTCGGGCAGGCGCCACTGCTGCCTCTGCCTGTGGGCTAGGAACTGCTAATCACTTCCCACAGGCCAGGCACTGCCTTACGCTCTCTCTCCCCAGCACCACTGTCAACTGGCCCACCCCTTAACTGCTACAGCTCTGCCTACATATAGCTCTGCTCACCTCTGCTCCTGCAAAGCTCTGCACATGGCTGCTTCGGTACAGCTCTGGTTTTCCCAGCACAGCTCTTAATCAGGTCTAGCAGGGCTTCCAGTGCAAGGCTTTCGTGTCCGACACCATCCCTCACAGCTCTCTTCAACCTGGAAGCCCTATCTGAGTCTCCCTTTTCCAGGGTTTTTGTAAGCCAGTCCTTGTACAAGGCAGGCCTCCTTGTCAGTTAACCCGGGGGGGGGGGTGTCTTGTCAGTTACCCTGGGGAGATCCTTGTCAGTTACCAGATGGGGCTTTCTAGCCAAACTAAAGTAACAGACCCTCAGGGAAAATCAACTTGGGAAATCTTCTAAGGTCAGTTTCTAAAAACCAAGGGCAAAAGTGACAAACCCTCAGGGGTCTTAAGGAACCAAGACCAAAAGGCCAGATTGCTTTTTGCAAGGTGATTCTATACCTCACAAGAACATTTCCATCATTGCACAAAGCTCTACTGGTCGGTGCTGCTTTAGAGCAACAGTTAGGTTGATGTGGTGGGGAGATATGGTACGTGAGCATGTCACAGGGTTCTGCCTCTTCTCCAAACGTACTGGGACAAAAGGAACCGAGGGCATGTCCTCCCAAACAGCTCCCATTTGGTTTGCTGGTTGTGTTAAACACATACACACACACGTGTTCATTTCAGGTTTGCAATGAGAATTCTCTGTTCAAAAGTGAGGCCCGCTACCTAGTGCACAGCAAGGATCTGGAGCTCTGGGCTCATGTCCTTGAGGAGGCCAACATGCAGGAGACAGCTCATTGACCAGGTGAGGCACAGAAACACAGGGTCTGCATGTGCTTGCCTTCTGCCCTCTCATTGCTGTGCAGTTCAGTTGATTGGTTTAATTGTTACATCTAAAACATATTAAGTGTATGACTTAACAGATCTTTTCTATCTTATGTTCTCTTCTCCCCTCTAAAAGTAGCTTACCTAAGAATGGTTTGGATTCCTAAAGGTGAGCTGGTTGTTAGTTAAGGGCATAGAGTTGGCCCTTATCGTCTATTTTAGCCCCAATAAAAGAATATCTGATGGCATGCCTGCATGCTCGGTCCTTAATTTTTTTCCAGGTTAGCCCTGTATTGATTTAAATGACTCCCAAGGTTGTCTTAGCAGCCTTTCCTTTGTCCAGGAACTCCTGGTTCCCCTGTAACTCTCCAGTCTCTGCTCAAGTGCCTCCTTAGAGCTGGAACTTAGTGCTGGGGTCAGGGGGTCCTTACTAGGTTTGGCCTGGCCAAGTGGGAGGCTACCTCACAACCCGCTGGGCTCTCTGAAGCTCTGTGGAAGAGGCCTGCATCCTGTCACATCCTCTGAGACGTGAGCACATATTTCCTTCGTTGTCCTCAGCACTGTCCCCTACACTGTTGGGCACACTGTTTAGAGGTAGGGTGAGACTAGTGTGGGAATTTTACCCTTGAACGAGACCCTAGTCCTGAGCATGTGATCGCTTAAAGCATCCACCTCTTTTGTACGTATTGCCAACCTGTGGGCCAGTTTTTTAACCTGGAGGGCTGGATTTTACGTTTATCCCTACTGAATTTCACCTTCTTGTTTTCTGTCCAGTGTTCCTTCATGCCCATGTTGTTATTTTTTCAGCACAGTTTGAATTTTGGGATACTTTTAGATTTACAGACACTCATGTTATTTTGAATCTCTTATTATTATCAACTTCAGACTTACCCATCTCTAAGATTTGTCCCCTGCAGATTTAATACACTTCATCCAAATCTGACAAAAACATTGAATAACAAAGGACCAAGGACAGAATCCTTTTAACATTCCATTAGGAATCTACCTCCAAGTCTGCAGACATCAGATGTTTCTCAAGGTATAGTCTGACCACCCAGTACAACGTGCAGGTCCCATCATGTTGGCGCTGGGAAGAGGAGCTTTAACACTGCACTGAACTAAAGCCAGAAACTCAGGAGCCTGTGGGTGCCACTTGGTTTTCCTATTCCTGTGTGGAGCTGCTTGTCCTGTAATTATGTCTGCTGGAATAGAATATTCATATAGCCACCTCCTGGTGGGACATTAAACTGCAGTGCCCATCTAATTGGGATTGCATAATGACAGTGGCAGACTGGTTTTGTGTCTGGAATAAAAGCTTATTATGGAAAGTTTACTTAGAGGAAGCAATTTCCTAAGGTAGCCTTAGGTTGGACGGCCTGTTGACTCAAACTGATGGAATTTTATTTTTATCCTTGAAGCAACCTGTGTGTATTTAAACTGCTGTAAGGTTTTCAAGAATAACAACAGTTAGATGTTGTTACTGGAATGCCGGTAAATGCATTCCTACTTTGGATGGACTTGGTGTGCTGTGTCAAAGTACCTCTTTTCCCTCAAGTACACCCTTCTTGGTTGCTTACTTGCTGTGATAGCCCCTTTTCTCTAACTCCTCTGTGTGCTAGTTGTGATTGTTAGAAACTCCTCCGAGGTAGACTTCTGTATGTTAGGGTACCATGGAGTACACAGTGGCCACGTGACAGGTGAAGTGGGCTGAGGTCTATATCACTTACATAAGACCTCCCCAGAGCTGTCTGTTCTTTCTCCTTAGCACATTGTTGTTGCCTACCTCTGATAAGCACCAGAAACTTGGTGAAAATAATAGATCCCTGAGGTCACTGCAGGCCCCTAGTATGCTGGTATTCTAGCATGCTGCTATTTAGGAAGTGTACTCTTTGGAAGAATGTCTTCCTGCTCAATGTGTAAGTTTTCTTTTAGGTGAGAACCAGTAATTGGATGAGGAGAAGGGTGGCTAATCTTTGTCATCTCTCCTTCAGAGTGTGGGTCTCCATCAGCTTCAGCTGTGAGGACACATGGCTCTCCTGAGCTTTGATTGCACTGTATCACATCCACTGGACATGGACTGTGCCACAGCAGCAGTAGTGCGCTAGGCTGGCAAAAGACTGCTGATGGGCATCGCAGTGTCTTATATAGAAAAATGAAGGCCATATTAGACATGATGAGTGGCTCTAGGGAAAAAAAAAAGTGAGAGTAAGCATGCATTTCAAATACCTATTTAGTGCACTGTGTTACTGTCTTTGAAATAAATTTAATGTAATCATTGGGGCGGACATAAGAGTTGTAGCCCTTTTGATGTGAGAAAAAAGCTAATTGTCAAGATAGAGCAAACAAAAATCCCTGAAACTGACTCTTGGATGCCCTTCTCTTTCTACCTGGAGGAATCTCCCATTCTCTCTGTGTGTTTTCCAGACTGTCTTGGAGGAGTCCTTCCCTTCTGTTTAGCTTCAAAGATACAGTCTTGAATTTAAACTTTATCTAATCAAATTCTTTCAAATGATTTTAAAAATCAGGTGGTACAAACAGCATTGTCAGAAACACAGGATCCAGAAGAAATCTCAGTCACTGTCAAGGCCTTTATAACAGCCGACCTGCCTAATGAGCTGATTGAGCTGCTGGAGAAGATTGTGCTGGATAACTTTGTCTTCAGCGAACACAGGTGAGACTCAGTCAGATGCAAACACCCTGCTTGACGTTCATATTCCAGTATGATCGTGTCTCACCTCACCCATCCAGCCTCACCATAAGCTGATTCCCAAACACATAGCCAGTCCACTCACTATCTCCTGTATCCTCAGTCCTACCCTTCCCTTCTCTTATTTAAATCCTACCCATCTCACACATCAAAAAAAAAAAAAAAAAAAAATTATTGCCATTGAGTCGATTCTGATTCATAGCGACCCTATATAGTCCAGCCTAAATTCTGTTTTTTCCAGGAAGCCTTTTTTCCTCCTACTGTTCTAGTCCACACAATTCTTTTTTAAACTTTTTTAAACTTTAAACTGCTTTAAAGTTCAGAACAAATTGCTCAAAGAAGGGGAGCTGAATTCTCATCAGGGCCTAGTGTGTCCCAACTATGTGAAATACTTGAAATAATGACAAACAAAGCTTGGAAACATGTGGCAGGAGAGCCACATCTGGACGTGTATCAGGGAAGATTTAGTAGAGAAGATGGCATGTAGAAACATGAGTAGGAGCTAAGGTAGCGAAGAACATTCTGGGCAGAAGCATCATGAACACATAGCTCGGACGTAAGAGGATAATTTGAATACGTCAGTGTGGTTTCATCCACTATTTATTGCCACTTTAAAATTCATTATCAGATTGTATGTGTCAAAAAGATTACGGTGTATTCACATCATAAATCCTGCTATAAAGATTTTATTGTAAGGTTTATTTTGTAGGCCAGAAAGGCTTTCAAGGGCTGTGGTATTGTGGAAAGCAGTATGACTGTAATTTTTATTTTTCAACTTAGAAATATTATATGGTAAGTCATGGATTGTGAAATAATGTTTTAATGGTCTCATAAACCCTGACTGAATGACATCAGAGTTAAGATACCTAAGGTGGCTAGGATATTCTGTCTTACCATCTAACCATCCTCCTTTAATAGGTTGTGTGTACTTCCAGACACTTAAATGTGATTCTGACTGTGTACTGCCTCCTTGGACATTGTTGTTTGTCAAACATGCAGGGGGACCTTCTTTGAGTTCTTGCTTTTCTTTCTGTGACTGATTGCTTCACCAGACATAGTTTTATGTGCAGATAAAAATAGGCTGGGTTGGTTGTATGGCAGACTAGATGCTTGGACAGATCCTATGATTGGAAAAATTGAACATGTAGGATGAAATATACAAACTACCTTTTGAATTGCATCAGTGAGCTAGCAAGTAAATAAAGTCTGAGATGAAAAACTAAGGGAGAGCAGGAACCTAGAGAAGTAAGAGAAATACAGTCTGGCTTTTGCCAAACCTGGGCTGTGGTTCTCATACCCTACAAGACACAGAGGACAGGAGACAAAACCTAAGGGCCTAAAAAGGCATGTATTCTACTAAGGAACCCCTCCTCATTGCAATAATAAAATAAAAATTTATCAGTATTGCCTAACCCTCTGCTGAGAAGCCAGTAAAAACAAAACATAAAAGAGCTCCTTTGAACCGTGGTGCTAGATTATGAGAACAAAACTGGCCCTGACAAGCTGGCCCCCACTGCTGGGTTTTAATACAAATTCATGTTACCTGGGATAGTCTTAAAAAAATCCTCAAGTCAGGAATTTAATTTTAAAGAAATCACCAGCAGGTTGTGCTCTCAGATCTCTGGCAGAAACAAACACAGATCCTCTTAAGAAGAACCTACCTTCTAGTAAGGCTTTGAAGAATTCTGACAAATAACATCCCAAGAAGTAATACGCTCCTAGTAAAAACAGTGACAGATTAGCAAATACATAAGGAAACAGGGCACCATTGGTAAGAATCAGCAGTAACCAAGTAGAATCACATCTTCACAGACTGTAATTATTGGAATTATCAGGCACAGAATATAAAGTTATGTATAATATTCTTAAATACCCAAACAATTAAAAAAAAAACCATTGCTGTCAAGTCGCTTCCAACTCATAGCGACCCTATAGGACAGAGTAGAACTGCCCCATAGGGTTTTCAAAGCTGTAATCTTTACGGAAGCAGACTGCCACATCTTTCTCCCACAGGCTAGTGGGTCCGAACTGTCCACCTTTTGGTTAGCAGCCAAGAGTTTAACCATTGCACCACCAGATTTGAAAAAGAACCAAATAACTTTTATAAAATTTTTAAACATATTATTTAAATAAACCTCAGATGGGTTTAGCAGCATTAGATAATAAATGGATTTGAAGGTAGATGTAAAGAAATCGCCCAGAAGTAGCCAAGAGAGAAAAGTGGAAAATATAAAAGAGATTAAGATATGTAGAGGTTCTAGATGGTGCCCAGCCACCACTACTGACTGCTCTGACCAGGATCACAATAGAAGGTGCAGGTTAGAGTTGGAAAAAATGTAGAACAAAATTCGAATTCATAAAAAAGACCAGACTTACTGCCCTGAGAGAGACTAGAGGAACCCCTGAGACTATGGCCCTTAGATACCCTTCTAGCTTGGAACTGGGGCCACTCCTGGAGATCACCTTTCAGCCGAAAAATAGACAGGCCCACAAAATAAACAGTAACACCCACGAGGAAAGTGCTTCTCATAACAATCATCTATATGAGACAAAAAGGGCAACATCTACCCAAAAGGAAAGATGAGAAGGCAGGAAGGGACAGGAAACCGGACAAATGGAAATGGGGAACTCAAGGTAGTAATGGGGAGAGTGCTGACACATTGCGGGGATTGCATCCAATGTCACGGAACAATTTGTGTATAAATTATTGAACGGGAAACTAAGTTGCTCTGCAAACCTTCACCTAGAACCAAAAACCAAATCCATTGCCGTTGAGTCAGTTCTGACTCATAGAAACCCTAGAGCGCAATTAAAAATAGTAATAATAAATCATGACCTTTATGAGACTATTGGAAATTTGAGGTCTAAAAAAATATGTAGAGATTGAAGGGAGATCTAATCAGAGCTTCAGAGAGAGAGTAGAGGGTGAAAGACACTATTGGGAGAGAGAATGATGGAGACTTTTCCAGACTGACAAAATTCTAATTCTCAGATTAAGAAAGCCCAGTAAATCCATGGAGAATTAATTTTTTTAAATCCATGCTTATACACATTATAGCAAAACTGCCGAACATTAAAAACAAGCAATCTTAAAAGCAGCCAGAGATACTGGAGGGACCCCCAAAACTATGGCCCCTGATACGCTTCTAACTCAGAACTAGAGCCACTCCCAAAGATCACCTTTCAGCCAAAGATTAGACAGGCCTATAAAACAAACAGTAACACCCATGAGGAACGTGCTCCTTAGCTAAATCAAATATGTGATACCAAATGGGCAACACCTGCCGAAAAGCAAAGACGAGAAGGCGGGAAAGGGCAGGAAAACCAGACTAACGGAAACAGAGAATCCGGAGTAGAAAAGGGAAGAGTGCTAATACGTTACAGGGATTGCAACCAATGTCACCAAACAATTTGTGTGTAGATTTTTGAATGAGAAACTAATTTGCTCTGTAAACTTTCACCTAAAGCCCAATAAAATGTTTTTTAAAAAAGCAGCCAGAGAGACGATAGGTTACCTACAAAGGAATAGCAGTTAGACTAACAGTAGACTTCTCAACAATCTCAGTGGAAGCTAAGATAATAGAATGGTACAATGACTATAGAGTGCTCAGATCTAAGAAGTAATTGTCAACCCTGAATTATATATCTTGTAAAATTAAGGGCAATGTGAAATAGAGATATTTTCATACAAATTGAATGAGGGAGTTTGTCAATAATAGACCTTCTCTAAAGGATGTATTTTAGGCAGAAAAAAAGTGATCCTATGTGGGAACATGAAGAAATAAAGAGCAAAGAAATTAGCAGCTGTAAAACAATAAAAATATTCTGTGGTTTTTGGGGGAGAAAGAACTAAAATTCTTAATAGTTGTGTGTAAATCGAAAGATAGTAAAAAGATGAGGCAAGGGATTTTCAGTCAGCTGCTAACCTAAAGGTTGACAGTTCAGACTCACTCAGTGGCACCATGGGAGAAAGGCCTGGTAGTCTGCTTCCATAAAGACTATGGCCAAGAAAATCCTATGGAGCAGTTCTACTCTGTAACACATTGGGTCACCCTAAGTTGGGGGCCAACTCGACAGCAGCTAACAACAAGATTGTAGCATCCTTTTTTTTATTTAGGAAGAAGGTAAAGATAATGATTAACATTAGTCTTTGATAGCTTAAGTATTTGTGTAAAAATTTCCAGGGAAACCACCAAAAGAACAGAGTATGTAACTTCGAAACTAGTGGAGGATAAAAAATGAAACGAAAACACTATCAACCCAAAAAAAGGCCAAAGAAGGAAAGAAAGATAGATAGAAAAGGTGGGAACAAATGGCAAGTATAAAATAAAATGGTAGAAGGAAATCTAAATATAGTAATAATCACATTAAACGTAAATGGATCTTATATTTTAGTTAAAAGACAAACATGTTCAAATTGGATAGAGAGAGAAAACCAGGAATATGCTGTTGATAAAACACATCTAAAACATAAGGTTGAAAGTAAAAGAAAGGAAAAAAATCCAGCAAATGCCAAACTTAAAAACACTCATAATAGTTTTATTAGTATCACACAAAAGAGACTTTAAGGTAAAAGCATTATTGAAGTAAAGAGGCCTGGTACATAATGACGATCGGTCCAATGCACCAGGAAAATAATGCATCTCATAATATAGCCTCAAAATACATGAAGCAAAAAACTGACAAAACTATAAGGAGAGAAGCAACGTCATCATATTGGGAGGTTTCAGCATACCTCTCTAAGTAATTCTAGAACAGTTAGATTTTTAAAACACTGCATATATTTTTAAAGTATATAAAAGCCATAAATATAACCATTGACAGTTAATGTGCTTTATAAGCCTGCTGTGATAAATTTTTTAAAACCCCACCCACTGCTGTCAAATCGATTCCAACTCATAGAAACCCTATAGGATGGAGTAGAGCTGCCCTATAGGGTTTCGAAGCCTGTAAATCTTTACAGA